TTTATTAGTGTGATTTTAATTCTGTCAGAGTGGAAAGCATATGAAATTGGGACAATACTGATAGGGTTTGATTCCAAGTTGTGCTACTCAATAGCTCCCATGGTCTGTTGTATTTGCACATAGTAGGTACCAATAAATGAGAGTTGTTATCATCTAAGGACATGCAGTGGAGGATAATCTGCTGTGTAAGGGTTTAGTAAGTTTGCTGAAAAGATTAAAAAATGCTTACTATAAAGTGCTCAGAGCAGGTTCTGTTACAGACAGAACACTCAGTGAAGGTTAGCTTTTATTACAGGTTTTAATGTTATTTAGAAGTCAAACTGATTTTAATGCATGAGTCCAGTCTATTTGCAATTTGTGTGTTTGATAATCCTATGAGTTAAACTTGGTGTATAACTTTGACTGCTTCTGCAAATTTTAAGAACAGTGTTTTAATTTTCATTACTTTCTAAATTTGTCATTTTATGTTTTCTCTCTGACTTGACTATAATTTGTCATTATGGTTTCAAAAACCTAAATCGTGGTTTAAAATTTGTTTTATACTAATTTAGGCATTGTTATCTGAGCACGCAACTTACCATATCTTTTTCCTTTGGGAGAATTTTCTTTGTAGTTTAATGTAGGATAATTTTTGTGAGTGACTTATACATATTTGCATGAGATTATATTTCCTGCTCTAGTTCATAGTGCCCCAGAGTCTGAGTTTCTGATGTACTCTTTGAAGGTATCGTTTCCAATTCTTCTCGTTCTTTTTATTATTTACATTATTTTTATTGACAAAGAGCATTGTGCTACAATTTCAATGCTAACATCAACTTTCTGGTCACATTTCTTTATAGTGCTAAAGTTTGTGCTTAGTGCTTTATACTACTTGAACATTAGCTCCATGTCTTTTCTAATTTAACTATAGACTCCATTGTCTCCTGTGGGTATCTTCCCTCTTTCTCAAATGTAACCCATTTTCATTGAATTCTCGGCCATGCCACTGTTGACGTCGATGCTGCCAGCTCCATTGACTTTTCTCCACTGTGTTTTCTTGCTTTGTCTGTGCCCACGTTTTCTGTTGCTGTTTTAGTATTAAGCTTTTGCTATTATTTGATTTTAGGCTTTTCTCCCCATGCAGAGAAATCATGGTGTTTGTGTTTAAAACCAATCAAGCGTTTTTTTCTTTTATTAAATTACTACATCTGTTATCTTAATCACTTTATGTTTGGTTCTTAAATTCATTGGTTATGCTCACTGTTTGCATTACTTTTTATGTTTGACACTTGCTACACTCCCTCCAACTCCCCAGTTGTCATTACAGATGACTTATGTTTTAAAGCAATTTAAAGTTTTCTTAATTTTTGAATGAAAAATTGCATAATGCTTTAAGAACAATTTTAAACTAATTTTAACTATTATTTGCTCCCAGTTGCTACTGGACTGTTGCTTTTCGTCAGCATAGTTAAGTGTGCATTAGAAACAAAACAAATAGATATGCATGTGAATTATGGTCATGTATAAGCAGATGAGAAGGTCTAAAAGTTTTTGAATAGAAGTTGAGTCCATACTAGAGAAAATAAAAATATATTAATTTTGGATGCTCTCAGAATAACAGTAAGTTGAATGCAGTATGCTAAATTAGTGCCACATATTCCAAATCTCAACATCAAAAATTCTTTAGGAGTCATGTCAATAAGATGGTAATCAATTTGAATTTAACAGTTGTCATGTTAAGATAAAGCAGGGGTATCAAACTCATTTTCACTGGGGCCACATTAGCCTCTCTGTTGTGTTCAAAGGGCTGAATGTAATTTCGGGACTTTATAAATGTAACTACTCCTGAACTAGGGGCAAGGAGCTCGGCTCTGCCACTGGGTAGAAACAAGGTGTTTGGTCGGATAAAACAAGGTGGAGGACCTGATTTGGCCCAAGGGACTTGTGTTTGCCACCTGTGAGATGGAGGATGATTATAGAACAATGAGTTTCATATTTTTATCTATCTTGTAAGCTGGATCTGAAGACAGTACTCATCCTGGAAGAGAAAATCTTTTTGAAGGAAGATAACATGGTTGCCATCATTAGTCATCATAGCTTCTGATGTATTTTCCTAGACTTACTCTGAAACTGTAGCCAGGCTCACTTACAGTGAAGAAAATAACTGAAAATAAGTATGTGAGTGTCACATAGACTACCCCATTCCCGCCCCTCTGCCGCCTGGCCATCTGCTACAGTGGGCATTTAGTAGCCTTTCTTTGGTGATTCATTAAGCAGTGATGCAGTGGATCAAACTAAAACTATGAAAGAATAAAGACTTTAGGCAACCTTCCTTCTGTGTACTCCAGGCCCTCAGCTTTGGAGTCTTGCTTGGCTAGTTGGGTGGGTGGGGAGGGGGGGGGGGGGGGGGGGGGGTGGAATGCAGCCCCAACCAAAAATATGGAACTTTGGTGTTGTACTGCCATCTACTGGATATACGTCAAATACTGGCTTAGAGACTGGTGTCTGGGCTCTCTTCCCTGACCCACAGCTGGAAAGAAGGCAGGAGATTAGAAATAAAAGAAAAATTTTGATGTGCTACCCCTTTGAAGACAAAGAGACAAATGTATAAATAATGCAAAGTGTCCTAATTCATAATAGTAATTCTAATAGTGAGAAATTTATGTTTTAGATCCACATATTTATTCATCTTCTTACCCCAGAGTAAGTTTACATATTTGATTGCTCTATTAGTATAAACAGCCCAATTTAAACCAAAAGAGACATTTATATTTAATTAACAGTATTGTTTGCAAAATTGTTGTTGTGTTTGTTGTCCTCCCTGATTGCCTTACACTGAATCAAGCACCACACTAAGACAATTACTCCAATGTGAATACTTGACCTTGGGATGAAGGGTTTTTGTTTCGGGTTTCTTTTTTCTCCAAGAATCCTTAAGTTCTGTTATCCCACCTTCTCCATCAATAACTTTCTAAGTTCTACATATCACTTTCTTTCACAGAACATATTCAGCAGCAAGAGACCAAGCACCAAAATTTTCTTTTTTAAGATTTTTATTTCTTTATCTTTAGAGAGAAAGGGAAGGAGAGAGGGAGAGAAGCATCAATGTGTGGTTGCTTCTCTAGTGAGTCCCCTGCTGGGAATTGGCCTGCAAGCCAGGCACGTGCCCTGACTGGGAATTGAACCAGGATCCTTTGGTTTGCAGGCTGGTGCTCAATCCACTGAGCTACACCAGCCAGGGCAGCACCAAAGTTTTTAGAGTCAGAAGAAAATTCACTGTCCAGGAAGAGATTCACTGATATGAGTAGCTCATGGTGAGTCTAGAAATGTGATCTTTTTCCAGCCAGGTTTAGAAACCTTTTTGTAATAATTAGTCCATATCATTCTAATGATATGGACTAGAGAAAGCTAAATTTCATCTCTATCCCTTGGAGCTAAGTCCCTGATTTCCCTCTGAAGAAATCTGAACCCAGGATTCTGGTCCAGGAAGAACATGGCTGATGATGATGACTCTCTGGGTCTCACTATGAAGTGCTGAATGAGGAAGACTATGAGCTGGGACCCTTGGAATTACTGAAAAATGATTGTCTAGGCACCAGTCGGGCTCAAAGAGCAACGTGGAAAGAAAGCAGTCAGGTAGGAGGCTGTGGGACAGAAATCAGGTGCACGGGGAAACAATTCAAAGCAGGAGATAGTAGGAGAAAATGCCTGGATACAATCTTATGTGATTCTTCCCTTTGAACTTTTAAAACCTCCACTGACTAGTTATGCGATCCTGGGACAGGTGCTAAATCTCTCTGATACTTAGTTTCCTGACCTGTAAAATGGCAATAACGTACTTGTGCCTATCTCAGGTGTGCTGGTGAGGAGGGCTAAGTCCGGTTACATGTGTAAGAGTTCGACCCAGGGCCAGGGTGGCACCTGCTTGTAACAGAAACAGTCATAATAACCCCAGGACCCACAGGGTTCTTACACTGAGACAGAAATCCAGCCATGCTGGCCATGTGTCCAGAGGTTCCCAGGCAGACTTGATTTTCCCAGTGTAAGCCCTGGGGAAATTCAGTGCCCTCTCTACCTCCCCTGAATTTCCCTTTCTTTCATGCATCCAGGTTTTTCACTGGGCCTGAAAGGATTGAATCTGCTGCCCTTGCCCAGGATGTGGCCCCAGGGACTATGTGGATCCACAGAGGCAGAGCAGCAGCAAAAGCAGGTAAGATTTTCCTGAAATTCTGTGTAAACAAGGCAGGGGAGACCAGGAGCAAATGTGCTTTTCTGGAGGGGAGGTTGGGGGACGGGAATGGGGCAAAAACCTAGCCAGGTGACAGGGATATACAGCAGTCGGGGTCCTCCTTGGAGGAGGATATATATCCTCCCTCTGGTGTCTGTGCCCTGGAAGCAGTCAGAGTCCTCAGCTCCCCTCAGAAAGCCCCATGTCTTGGCTGTCCCGAGAGGACTGAAAGGAAGGGGCTGCTACTTAAGGGTGAATCAGGATTGCCTGGGGCTTCTCACCTTTAGCTTTGTGGGCGGGAGGGGGGGCATTAATATTTTTAAGCCTTGCAGGGTTAGGGTGGTGAGCAGAGCACTCCAGAGATAACAGGGATGAGTTCAGGGTGAACACAGCAGCTGAGATATTCCCATGGTTCTGCTGAAAGCCAGTCAGAGTCTGACTTTAGGGCCAGAGAGCCTGGGGTAGAGAGTTGAAGCAGTAGGCTCCCTGGTCGAGTTCCAGAGACACCTACCTGCCTCTTCCATTTTAATTCTGGAGAGGCTCAGGCCACATTTATTGCCAAATCTGTGTGGCTTCCTTGAGTTTTAAACTCCTGGAAGACAGAGGAGTATTTTAGAAAGAACATCTAATAGGTGCCCTGTACCTTTTAATGTGGGTGGTTCTATGAATCAAGTTGAAATAAAAACTGCCATGCTGAATTTGTTTCAAGAAATTTATTTTCTAAGGTAAAAGATTAAATAAATTAAAAATAACTTAATGAATAATTTAATTAAATATCAAAAAGTCTCGCTGTCCTTACAAAGGCAGTGCATAGTTGTCCATCAAAGAGTGACCAGCTGAAGCATGCCTGAGGTCATGGTCGGCGTTGGTCCTTCCCAGAGGCACAGGCTGACAGATGTTCAGTTTTTGAAGACAAAATCTGTCAGTTTGTAAAGGACAGAAAAGTTCTTGAGGATGTGCCCTCGGACTACTATCCAGGCACATCTGCTGTACGACTTGTCCTCCAGATAATCTTCAATCCTTGAGTAATATTCCTTTAGGTGCTCCTGGGTGATGTTTTCTTTCAAGGTGAACTTTTTCTCCTTCATGATTTCCCTCCGGGCTGGCTCCAAATGGTCCATCTGCCAACTGAGTTCCTCAAAGAGTTTCTCAATGATGGTCTCATTCCAGCCCGTGCTAGAGAAATTTCTATTGAAAAGATCAAAGGTCTGATTGAGCATCTCATGGATGACCAATATGGCTCCCTCCTTCCGGAACTTCTGTAGTTTAATCTCCTCGGGAAACTTGAAGTCCATCCTGTCCTGGAGGCAATAGTGAGAGGTTCCATTCAACTGATTTATGAGAGTCCAAGAGGCTGAGATACTGCCTCTGTGTCGGAACCGAGGCACATCGTACTTCATGGAAAGAGCTGTGGTGGAGAAACACAAGAGCAGAGCCATCTGGACGATGCCCACATTGGCCATGATGACGAGAGAAACGGTACTGCTTACTTCCACCTAGGCACCGAGGCACAGAGGCAAAGGCTTCCAAAGTGCTCCCAGAGTGAATGAACTTTCTCCATGAGTATGGGCTATTTATAAGGCCATCTAGCCTTTCTGTCTCAGGAGAATTTCCCATTTTCAGTTCTCCTTTTCAGTTTTCTGTTGCCATTTTTCATATGTTACATATTTCGTATATGTTCCTTTTTCAATTCACTGACATACAATATCATATTAGTTTGAGGTATAGGACATAGTGATTAGCCTACCTTACAACCTGATCACCCACAAAAGTCTAGTACCCATGTGGCACCACACAAAGGTATTACAACATCATTGACTGTATTCCCCAGGCTGCACTTTACATCACCGAGACTATTCTGTAACTGCCAATTTGTACTTCTGATTCCTTTATGTTTTCCCCTAGCCTCTCAATCTCTCTCCCATTGGGCAACCATCAATTTGGCATCTGTATCTATGAATCTCTTTCTGTATTTTTTGTTCATTGATTTTGTTTTTTAGATTCTACAAATAGGTGAAATCAGTGGGTATTTGTATTTCTCTGACTTATTTCACTTAGCATAAAGCCTTCTATCTGGGCCCTCCCATAGTGTCACAAATGACAGGATTTTATTCTTTTTTACGGCTGAGTAATATTTCACTGTATAGATATGTACCACCTTGTTTTATTTGCTAGTTTATCAAGGGGCATTGGGTTGCTTCCATATCTTGAGTGTTGTAAATAATGCTGCAATACACATAAGTGTACATATATCTTTTTGAATTAATGTTTTAGATTTTCGTAGAATCAATACCCAGAAGTGGAATTGCTGGGTCACATGGTAGTTCTCTTTTTCATTTTTTGAGGGAACTTGATACTGGTTTCCATAGTGGCTGCACCAATTTACAATCCCACCAACAGTGCATGATGGTTGCCCCTCCTCCCAAACCTTACCAACATTTGTTGTCTGCTCATTGATTGATGACCATTCTGAGGGACATGAGGTGATAACACATGGCGGATTCAGTTTGAATTTCCCTGATGGCTAGTAACGCTGAGCATCATTTCATGTGCTTGTTGGCCATCTGTAAATGGCCTATCCCAATATTTCTGAGGCCACTTTTTGTTAGAATGTAGTAACAAATTTTCATAAGAGAGGTATAAATTAAAATCTAATGACAATTTTATATTATGCTTATAAAAGCAGGGAGACATGATATATTTTAAAGACTTTACTACAAAAATAAAATTGTAATAATAATAAAATAATGATTATCAATTTTTAGAAAACTTTGCATTATCTTTCAGTCTGAAAGTTAATGCAGACCACCGTGTGCAGGGAACTGTAACACTCACTTTCATGGATCATTCAGTTAAGTAGGGAAAAAGTATTAAGCAAAGAAATACACAAAAGTAAAAAGCAGCGCAGTGACAAGTATTGCAGAGGAGAAATTTGTGGTTGTGAGGGTCCTTAGTATGGGACCATAATGTAGTAGGAGAGGTCAGAGAAGACTGCCCTGTGTTAGTGACACTGGAGCTGAATGTAGAACCAAGGTAGCTGGGACTGCGGGTGCAAAAACTCCATGGTCAGATAGTGTACGGATTGTGAAGCTATGTTAAGAAATGTTTACTCATCCTAAGAGCAGTAGAAGTCATAGAAGAGAGTGAAGTGCGGTGGAGTAACCTGCTTTGTTATTTTGGCAGGGGTGGTGGTAGACTACCATCTGTACAGTAAGCAATAAGCAATGGAGGGATACATGCAGACGGAACAGTGAGGGGAGTTAGCAGTACTGGAGACCAGGGAGCCAGTGGTGGAGAAGGATGAATTCATTGATGTGAATCTCTCATTTCCCGACAACACCAGAATCAAATGTTTGAAGAAGTTCTCCATAACTTTACAGATAGCTGCATCAGTCTTACTGGCCACGGGGATTTCAACACATTTAATGCAAGAGGGACATTACATTTATTGCACCAAATTTCAGTAGAGGCAAATGCGGACTTATAAATCTGGAGCAAACATGAGCTCCAGCTGTCACATCATCAGCAGAAGTCCTGTCTTCTGATCTTTGCAATATGCTCAACATTAACTCCCAAATAGCCCTCCACTCCCATTCCTTCTTCCCATCTGGCTCTATGGAAACAACCCTCCCCAGATAAGAGTATCTATTGGTAATGTCTGATGTATTTCTATAAAACAAAACTACTTCCAGTTGAATGGTGTTTATGTGATGCCCCCAACTGGGGTACAGAGGAAGCAATTCATCTTTCTGAACTGGGGAGTGGGGAAGACCTGATCATCATTCATTCAAATCAGGGAAGAGTGTCAAGGGTTTAAAAGATGTAGCACACAGTCCTCAAACCCTGAGATGACATTCTGGGAAGATAGCCGTGGTGGCAGGATAGCTTTGAGTTTCCCTGAGTCCCCACACAAAACTAGACACTGCAACTAGATAGAAACCAAAACCCCATTTTACAGAAAAACCACAAAATGCAAGCAGGTGAGGAAAAACCACCAATCACCACAAGACCTGCCTCATGGCACCATCCATGTGGGAGAAAGCAGAGGAAAGCAATGGATCTACAAAGCCCCAAGTAGCCAAGAGGTACTTACTGGAAAGCCATCCAGGCCGACTGGACAACAGCCCCTGAAACTGGAAGGGGTTTTGCCCAGTGTAACTGCAGGTGACTGTGAGGGGCCTCAGTAAGTTCTGAAAGGCACTGGAACAGTGGAAGATATTAGTAATTTTCAAACCAACAGGGCAGAGCTCTTTTTTAGAAAGGACCTTACACTAAGCAGAAACTACTAGAAGTGAAATCAAGTTTGAGTAGGACAGAAACAAGGAAAGGGTAGGAAAGAGAAGAGCACACTAGTATAGGGTGGACAGATCAGAGAGCAAGCGGTCATGGTTTTGAACATGTCACAAAAGCAACTGAAGAGGGAACTCTGTGAAGTTAGATGAACCATTCCCGACTGCTGCTAGTTCTGGACAAATGAGCTCCTATTAACTTAAACAACAAAATGGTATTAAGATTGAGTCTCATAGAAAGCTATTTTTAGAAAAAGAAGGATGAGAAGCAGAATAATATCTGAATGGATGCTGAAAATATATCAGGAATACAGTCACATAAAACAGATCAAAATTTTAACGTGTTTCACAAAGGAGTTTGAAAATATTCTTCAATTACATAACACAACATAAATCAGAATTATACAAACTCAATATATGTAGGAAATAATTAGAAATAAGAGGAAAGTCTCCACATTTTGTTGAATAAGATACAGTCACAAGATATGAGCTACTTGGGTGAAAAGTATTAGCAACTAGAATCAGGACTTAAAAGAAATGGTATACATTGACCAGGGGAGTTATTTTCAGGAAACTGAGGATGGTTTCAATATTTTACAGTCCACATAATATTATATGGAGCCGACTGTGAGGTAAAATAAACAAAATCAGAAAACACTTGGAGATTTAAAAAAATAATGTTGAAGTGAGGAAGTTATAAAATCTCAAAATTATAATAGAAAATATTTATTAATATGACTATTAACAAGTTATAAATTTTAGTATGGCAAAAAATACCAGTAAATTTCTCAACGAGAAAGAGTAATATAAAAATACAGTCATAACACCGAATGAGGAAAGGATACTTTTCTCCACTTACAAAGAACTCCTAAAATTAATTTAAAAAACTATACAAAAGAAAAGTTTATAAATAGCCAGATACCAGGAAAAGAAATATAAGGGGCCAATGAAGATATAAAGATCTGTTCAATGTTACTAAAAACAATGCAAATGAAACTCCTGAGGAGATTGCCACTTTGCACTAATAACATTTGCAAAGGGCATGGGGAAATGGTATTCTAGTCATGCGCAATAAAATTATACATTTATGCAAACTTTTGGGAATGTGGGAAAGATTGTTTTTTCAAGTACAGCCAGAATGCTATCTTCCATCCATGTGATAATTTCAGCATAACTTTGACGCTTTACACCAAAGGTAGCCTCCTCTAGAATCTGGGCAAAATTCTGTGGTAGGTTAAGGGTGTGTGAGTTTTGAGGCTGTCTCAGAAAGATAATGCAGCATCTTGCTCTGGAAGCCATCAGCAGCCCTGCAGGTGGTCTGATTGTCCTGGACCTGCCATGTGGTGAGAAAGCCCAAACTAGCCTAAAAGAGAGACCACAGAGAGATCAGCAATATCTTTCAAACTTTCAAATTTCAAGCAATGCAATTGTTCCTTTAACTTGCAATATTAATGCTAGAAATTTACCTACGAACATTCCTGCAGAAGTATGTTTATATGTATGTATGTATGTATGTATATTATACATTAGATATTACAGAAATATGTATGAATGTTCATTGCAGTACTGTCATAGGAAAAAATTAAATTAAATATCCATCACTAGGGAATTGATTAAGTAATAATATGGTACAGATCAAAATGGCATACTATGTATAGACATTAAAAAGAAAGTTTGCAAATATGGACCTATATCTGAGATATATTAAATAAAAGGACCAATACATGTAGTAACGGACAGGATATTATCATGTTTATAGCCTAACAGAAAGAGACACACATGCATGCTGATACACACAGGTAGCTGTTTCCTCCAGTGCATCCACTCCTCTGTTGGTGGTAGTTTTCTCGGGGACGATGCTGGAGGCCAAAGATGCACCCAAGAGGAACAGTCTTCCCCTTTTGCTGTGTACCTTTACAACTGGTTGTACCTGGGTTTTTCCCAATGTTAAGAATACATCTGGGAGATGGGATTATTAGGCATTTATAATCTAGTGTAACTTTATCTTTGAAATAATTTATTAAATTGTTACTCTTTCTTTTTATTCACATTTACAAACACTTTATAATGAACATGTTACTTGTGTCACTGGAAAATAAGAAGTATTCATTTATGCTCAAAAGCATGGCTTAAAATTGTACATACAACACAGTTCTGTCGAAGTATGTAGAGAGAACATTTTAAAAAATACCAACGTTTTATCAGTGGTTATATTTGACTTGTGAAATAAAAGGGAG